GACAATTTTTTTTTTACGAATAACAATGATCTGTCTATATTTCTGAGATGAGATATTATGTACACTATTTACATTATTCGAACTATTGTCCTCATCTTTCTCGTCATATTTATTAGAACGTTACTCAAGGACACATGGTACAGTGGATAAAGGCGTTGGTTAGATCCAGTGACAGTACCCATAAGAGTGTGAGTTCAATACCCGGTTAAGGCAGCAGAGAACTTGGAGAGGGGAATTAACAAGAGATAACTGGCATCCATTAAACATGGCATGTGGAACTAGAACAGTCTACCCCAGTGAGCGAAATAAAGGGTTCAGTTCGGCATTCCAAACACCTGAAGAAGGCCGGGGCGTACAACGGCCGAAACGTTGTAATAAATATGGCGACAAAGATGAGGACAAAAGTGTAAATAATGAATATACAATGATTTTTTCAATTATTAGTCCTATTATTTAACCTATAAGTGGGGGGGTGGTGGTTACATATATTTTCCAAGGATATTTACGCTTGAGTGTATCCGATTTATGATTCCACGCTGTTATCCTTTACACTACCTGTACGTTCGTAATAATTTCTTTTTGTGGTGGGGGAGGGAGTAGGTGTGAAATGAGGTCTTTTATATAAAATATGAACTAAAAATAAAATGCTGCTAAAATCAGAATAAAGTTGATATCTCTTTTTGATACATAACAAGGAATAAAAGTTAGGAGAAATAATACACACAGGCATACTGAAGATAAGTATAGCAGGTGAAAGCACCGAGTAACCTTTTGTTTTACGTTAATGTCCACCCAATACAAGGCCCAAGAGCCACTCAATGTAGGGTTACAATGTAGTGTTGTGTGAACGTAAGAAAAGGCAAGAAGTGCAGTAACTGAATTAAAGATAACGGTTAACCCTAGATTTGAATAGGTCAAGATTTTAGTGATTGGGAAAACTGTTACGGTTTTTTGGGTATATTATACATATAACTAGTGAGCGAGTCAGAATGACTTATTTCCCTTTATAGTCGACCAATAGAAGGTTGACCTATCAGAAGCCGCACAACACTGTATTCGTCGTGTATAAAGGCGGCCATCTTGTTTTCTCTACCGGAAGGACCAAAGGCGACCAGGAGAAGGATGAACTACGCTCTGCTACGATATCCACTGCAAACCTGAACTACGCTTTCCTACTGTCTCCGAAATATTCACTGCCAACCTCTGGATTCTATACTCGAGGACGACCGTCATGAAAATGTCTAACAAAAACATCCTACCGGGAGTCTGTTTCACAAAGCAGCAGCTCTTGGGAAGAAGCTGCCGGAACGGAAATTATTTCTTACTATTGGAATAAGAGGGGAATGAAGAGGGTTCAACCTCGTGTACGTGGTATGGTGGGTCCTGGATGCAAAGGTCAGGGTTGGTGGGACTAAAAACTGTAGAGTGCCAGAACACATGCCATGGAAGTAACGATAGAGCAGCGTGAGGCCTACTTGAATAATTTGAATAAATGGATAGCAAAACAAGTGGCACAACAAAAAAGATTGGCCGTTAAAGAACGAGAAAGTTGCGGAGAGCCATAATCATCCATATCATAGACATGGCACATCAAGAGATAGTGCATAGTTGAAATGAAACTAATTAATCGCCGGTGCTGTTAGTCTTTAAGTCCAGGTAAAAATGATGATTTTTTTTTTAGTTATAGTAAATCTCTTCACATGGAAGATATTTTATACTATTGATCACAAGCCCCAACAGCCACTCAAAGTAGAATGTGTTTGTTGTAGGAGCGTAAATAAGAAGTGCATATTGTGATTTAAGAATTTAAGTTCGTAGTGATTGTGGATTCATCCTTGGGAGTTTGTTCAACAAAGTTATTGTTCTGGGACAGAGCAGATATTCTTCAACCGCTGAAAAAATTATAATAACCCTAGTAAAAGAATTGAAGACGTAGATGTAATATCCTGTCACTGATATAATATATGTTTTCCCTGTAGACTCCTCTGTGAACTGTAGGGTTATAGGTTCATAACATTAGTACTGTGATTTTAATTGCAAGCTGATTTATTTTAATTTTCGTAGTGGAGTTTAGTTTCATCCCCAACATGTTTTCAATTCACTATATTATGCAAAAGCTTTTCATAAATTATATTCCAAAGAACAGTTGAACTGCTAGATAACCTGACATAGTTGGGAAAGATATTAGAATAATCTTGAACTTATACTGGCAGCAAAGTGCCTGCATAGTGTCAGAAAATGAATTCGAAAACATACAAAAAAAATAGAAAGGGGCGCAAGACAAGGATGTGTTTTCTCACTGAAGATATTCAACCCATGCAGTGAGGCAATTCTTAGAGAATTAAAAAATCCCACCAGGATTCATTATTGGTGGCCACAATCTTAACAAATACAAGATATGCAGATTGTACAGTGTTGTTAGCAAATACAGAAAAGAAACTACAAGAAAGTTTATGGAAGGAAGTGAAAGAAAGTAACAAGAAAAGATTAAACATCAATTGCAAAGAAGATAGTATGCATGGTTGTCAGCAAAAAGGAAGAGCCCAAAATGCAAATTACAAATTGGAGATATGAAAATCAAATAAGTACAGCGATTTAAATATATCTGGGAAGTGTTTTATCAGAGGCTGGAAAGTAAACACTGAAATCTGAAGGCAGACTGGGATGCTCAAAAGATGCCATCCAAAAGCTAAGTAAAGTATTATGAAACAGGAAAATGTCATTAGAAACAAAGAAAAGAGTACTAAATTGTTATTTAATATCAGTTTTCTAATATGGCAGTGAATGCTGGGCAATCTCCTTGGAGATGAAGTAACAGAAATGTGGCTCAAAAGAAATAAGGTTTAAATATTTCTAAGATATTATTTTATATTTCTTTTTAGTATCAGTTTTAGGATGTTGTATGTAGTGTTGGAACTGCTAGAAAACCTTGACATAGTTAGGAATGATATTAGAATAATCTTGAATGATATTAGAATAATCTTGAACTTATACTGGCAGCAAAGCGCCTGCATAGTGTCAGAAAATGAATTCCTGAAAACATACAAAAATAGAAAGGCGTAAGACATGGATGTGTTTTCTCACTGAAGATATTCAACCCATGCAGTGAGGCAATTCTTAGAGAATTAAAAGTCCTACCAGGATTCATTATTGTACAAATCTTAACAACATAAGATATGCAGATTGTACAGTGTTGTTAGCAAATACAGAAAAGAAACTACAAGAAAGCCTATGGAAGGAAGTGTAGAAAGAGAGAGAAAATCTACATCAATTGCAATCAGACAGAATACATGATTGTTAGCAAAAGGACAGCGTAACATGTAATTTATAAATTGAGATGACAAAAAAAAAAAGGTACAAAATTTAAATAGCAGGGAAGCGTTTTAACTGACGGTGTACATCACTGAAATTCGAAAGAGTCTTTGGGGTAAAAATTATACCAATTAAAGGCTAAACAAAAATATGAAGAAACAGGAAAATTTCGTTAGAAACAAAGAAAAGAGGACTGAACTGTTACGTAATATCAGTCCTTCTATATGGCAGTGAATTCTGGACAATTACCTCAGATATGGAAAGTCGTGAAACAACAAAAAGCATCCTGAGAATACCGTGCAATGAACATGTGAGCACCAACAGTTTTAGAATATGGAAACAAAAGGAGACTTATATTTGACATCAGAAAGAGATGATGAAGTCCTAAATAACGAAAGATGTCACAAGAAAAGTTTTTACACATTGTCATATATATATATATATATATATATATATATGTGTGTGTGTGTGTGTGTGTGTGTGTGTGTGTATGTGTGTGTGTGTGTGTGTGAAGAAATATAGTTTTAAGGTGTGCTATATTTATGGGATAAAGTGCTCAATATCACCGATAGAACGTATGTAAATACAAAAGTGAACATCAAGTCAACACTCAGAGGCGACAGGCTGTTTATTGCTAACTCAATCATCAGACCGACTGACGATTGTAGAAAACTTATGGACATGTTGCTCAACTGCTTTCTCGAGAGCCTGTACTTGATAATGCTCTACATTTTATTCTATGTGGTTGAGGTCAGGAGATTGGGGAGGCTATGTCATAACGCTCACCTGCTTCTCAAAGTATTTCGTCATCAATTTTGATTTGTGACAGGGAGCATTATCCTGCATAAAAATGAGCTTGGTGGGGTCGATTTGCACCCTTTCAGCAGAAGGGAGCAGACAAGACTCTAAAATTCTCTTTGTACTGCTTTCCTCTTGAGGGTCTTTTTCAATAGGTTTTAAGAAACCAGTTCCATGAAAAGAAAAAAGCATCCCCAGAACATTATACTAAGCGGATGATTGACAGTACTTACTGTTAAATTCAAAGAGCTTTCAAAGCTTCTTCAGATTTTAGATCGCTTATCCTTTGAATTTAGCTCAATTTTTGTTTCATCGAGAAGAGAACATTCAGTAAAAAAATCAGGTGAGTCACTTTTATCGAACAGCACTATATATATATATATATATATATATATATATATATATATATATATATATATATATATATATATATATAAAGAAGTGAGAGAGGGGAATCAGCAGAAGGAAACAAACTTTTTATTACACTGAGATAAAGCAAATATATTAGAATAGAGAAAATAAAAAAAATCTAAAATGATAAATTTGGTAAAAATTGGTTAAGATTAAAATGTACAAATCCTTGATAATAATCATAAGATATTATGCAACTTTAAAATCTTTTTCGTCCCAATAGAAGCCAAAAAAAGAAAGAAAAGAAAGAAACAAAACAAAAACAAATAAAAAGAATGAAACGTAAAAAAAATAAAACAAAGTAAATCATTGAATTCTCGCTCTTGTCGCAAATTACCCGCCCGAGAAGAGTCAAGATGATAATTGTTCGGCAATATGTTCGTTGCCAGCTTGAATTTCAAATGACGTGAGTCAAATCCGATCCTGAACATTTAAATCTTTCTTTTTATTTTCTTCTTTCTTTTCTATTTTTTTTTAAGAACCTTTCCCCGCTCTAATCTACAACCCGACCAATTTTCCTCTTTTCTTCCCTTTTAAGCAGACACATCCTCCCTATAAAATGAGCGACACTAAAAGGAGGGGCAGAACCGATGTTAGTTAGAAGGTCGGAAGGACGGGGGAGGCGGGTCAGCTAGCATCTCGGTGGCCGACGGAACTTTTTAGGCCTGATTTTAAAACCCACGTCACATGCTTTTCTTTCTAAAACGGTCTCTTCTCCTCCCACCTTATTCAGCACTAAGACTAATTTCATATTCGTGGCCATATTCCTTCTGTTCATTGAATTATTTTGGGAGATCCTGCGACAGTCAGTCTACAAGTTTACAACGCAACCTGAATATATAAATCGAAATGGCCGCTCTTGTTCGAGACTACAGCGAAATAAGTTGAACTTCCAGTTTTACGTGTGATGGACTCGATTATTGCATTTCAAATGTTTCTTTTTCTTCGTTTTCAGAATCGGACTTGGCAGTCAGGTGGCAGTCAAGAGAAAAAAAAAAAAAGATTTTAAAAATTTATGCAATAAGATAACTAAATAAATACTTTTATGTATTTTTTAAAGGTTACACCAGTCATGAGCAGTAAGTGCATGAGAAAAAATGGATATCATAAGATTTTATATATATATATATATATATATATATATATATATATATATATATATATATATAATATATATATATAACGTTATTTTAGTGAATACCCAAATATTTTTTTCAAAGTGGTGATTTTATATACATATATATATATATATATTTTTATATGTATGTATGGGGGTATCGACTAAAGATAATGTTTAAAGTGATTATATATATATATATATATATATATATATATATATATATCACTTTAAACTTTTATTTTAGTGGATAGCTCACTCGCCTTATGTGTATATACATATTTTTCCAATACTCCATATAACAACGCAAAACGTTGGCGTTTTCTCTTCTTTTTTAATATATACACTTTTCTCTCGTTGGAACAACTATAACCTCTCCCATTTATATATATATATATATATATATATATATATATATATATATATATATATATATATATATATATATATATATATATATATTAGTAGTAGTCCTTTTGTAAAACCTCGGATAGCTCAACTTGCAGATATGTCAGGACAAATCGGTACCCGAGGAAAAAATTGGAAATAAAAAAAGAAAGAACTAAAAGATCAAGAACAAGGCGAAACAAATGGCCAAGTGCTTAAAGTCTTTTAGTCCAAAGAACAAAAAAAAAAAAAACGAGTAGAAACACTAAAACGTAGTGCTCAATACGCTAAACAGAAAAACTAAAATAAATCCTTTTAGGTGAAACCTAGGTATGTTAACCTTGGATTTATTCTATATATATATATATATATATATATATATATATATATATATATATATATATATATATATATACTAGAATAAATCTAAGTATATATATATATATATATATATATATATATATAGAATAAATCTAAGTATATCCTAAGTATATATATATACATATATATATATATATATATATACTAGAATAAATCTATATATATATATATATATATATATATATATATATATATATATATATATATATATATATATATATATAATTGTGTATTTAAGCAGAAATCCTTTTATATTGGTTTCATTAAGGTTTTTATTTATTTTTTCTTGTGTTCGTATAACTTTTTTCTTTTCTGGACATAAAGTTTTTAAAAATTGTCGAATGTATTGTAAGTCCAAGCGCTTTCGGCTATAATTTTAGCCATTATCATAGATTTTTTTAGAAAATTTCTAATTCTAACTGAATGTGTAGATATTTATGTATGTATCTAGAATTATTGGAATATTTTTTATATTTCCCAAACACGCTCAGACCATTGTGATTGTGTTCATATTTGATGTTTATTGAGGGTAGGTTTTATCTTTCTTATCATTTTTTATAACAATTGGAACAATAAGAATGAATAATTACTCTAAGCTTAACAGAAGAATCGTGATGAAATCGATCGTAAACCAAAATGACATGTTCATCAATAATTAATCATAGCTAAAGAGCAGAAGCTCATGAAGGATTGAAAAAAGTTCAAAGATATATATATTATTTCAGGATCATTTTGAACTTATTCAAGATGATCTTCGCCCTCTTTAACCTTCTAACTTTCTGACCTGGAGTAAAAAGTTGTCTCACGTATCACGTACGATTTCATTTTCAAGTCTTTTTTTCACTGCTCTTTCTACTGTTATAAGTAAAACTCCTTTCACATGTGCCAAACGTCTTATGATTAAGTTGGATATTTTAATTGATCTCTATAGCTTTTTAAGTTGAAACGATGATCCCTCTTCCTGTTATGATCTCCTGATCCAGGTTTCTCTCTACTGTTCCTCTTTTTAAAATTATTCTCCCTTCTTTTGATTGTTCTTGAATAGCCTTTTGAAGAT